CCGCACCGGTCTGTTGTTAGGCAACCTTTAATAAGAGTGAGCCGCAGCTTCACAAAGGATTGTGGGACTGTGGGGGTGTTGAGAGGGGGAGGTGCACCAGGTTCTCTAAACGGCAGCACAGTCAACAAGAACAAGTGACACTCCTGTCATCCGTACTGCTGCACGGTATCAGCCCAGAGTCTCTCTCTCTCTCTCTGCTCTTTTATTGTCTGGAAGTCTTTCCATGTCCCTCCCTCCTCTGCCCGTCTCTCTCTCTCTCTGTGTCTATCAATATTTCATATGCCTCTTTCTCCTACGTGAGTGAGAAATGAATAAAAGGAAAGCGGATGTGTGAGGAATAATGGATTACAGTTGAGCTGAGCGGTTCTTCCGTGCTCTTCATGTGTAGTTTAACGCCACAGAAAACTCTAATACTAGAAATCGTATCACACTGTTCGCACTGTCAATACTATATTCCACACTGCTGCATTCAGTCAGCTGCGTGCCTGCAAAAAGAAAGCTGTTATTGATGAGGAACTTTAACAGTCTCAAGTTCTTGTCCGTGCTTAATGTACATTAATTTGTCTTAACCTACTGTATACTAAAATGAAGCTGAACATTTCATCACGGGATACCAAACATCATTTGTATGCGACACACGTTTAAGATATTCCATGCATACAGAAAATGTGTGCACTTGTAGTGCAGCAGATGTGACAGCGTAGTACAGTAAATAGAAGTACAGTATATAGGATGAGCAAACACTAGCGCTGAATACAAGGACGCAAAGCAAGATGAGCAGCAGGCAGACAGACTAAAGAGTTGATTTTAATTCGCTTTATTCACCATGTGAAAGAATTCTGATCCATCATCATCAAAACACTCGCTCACTATTAAAGTCTCAGAGTTTTGTGTTCATATTGTCATACAAAAGGAGGAATTCTCTCATTATTATATACACAATCTGTACATGTTTTCACTTGAGAATCATTTCAGAGATGTAAATGACGTAAAAATTTCAGTAACATATCAAAGTGGATGTAGTTCTTATTCCATAGTGAAACAATTCACTCATTCAGCCCGCATCCTCTTGCACTGCAGTTACCATGGGAACAGCATTGTAACACCATGGCAGTGCCATAGCAACAAGAGTATTTAACATAGAAGTCAGTGTCTTACGCACGCCTTTATCATCCCTGATGAGCGACAAATTCATCGATTGTGTGGAGAAAATAACAGATGGAGTTTGTACCGTAGCTATGTGAATAACAACAGGGTGTTTCTTACCTGTAGAATACTTCAAACCAGCTATACTTACCTTAGAATAATGAGAATATAGTAGTCAACAGAACGTTAAAAGTTGCTTATATATTGCGAATACACTAGAAAAATTATAACTACAGCTATGCGTAATAGGCGTATTTCTCTATGAACACAAGAAAATGTGATTTTCAAGCATATAGAGCTCAAGCTATAAGCATGGGGTTTTAGGAAAACTCAAACATAGATTACTGCGCTATAACGGGAACGCCGCCGGCTTCAACATACGAGAAGAAAACACCCTAAAACGCGTTGCTATAATAATAATAATAATAATAATATTAATAATGCTCTAAAAAGAAAAAAGTTTAAAGACATGGTTAGAGTTACTGTAGCTGCAGAAACAATACAAGAGGAGATGAAAGGTTATTCTGCAGTAGACCTAAAGCGAGGACAGGACCTCACGATAGTTAAACCTGTATGCTGGTATTTTTGAGGATTCTTCATCTAGATTCTTGCCAATAAAATATAAAATAGAACATAATAAAATAAAATTAGTAGTAATCCATCTGTCAAGAGTGCTATATTTAAAGTCTTAAAGTTGTATGATAGCTTTGTACGTGAACAAAAATTCCAATCTCATTCAAGTCCACATTCAGATTAGTGAATGTATCACATGCAGTGAAAAATGACTTAAAATTACACACAAATCAATCGTATGACTTTTTAAAATTTGAAATATAGTAATTTTGACCACTTTTATATTTACTTTTAAATATACTAATTTTCTCAGGTACCAGCCAAGATAATATTGTCCTTTGCAAGTTTTACAAAATTAATATGTGTTTCGCTTTGGTCACACTGTCATGTGTCTTGGTAACAAGGACAGGAAGCGCAAACAACATGCGACCAACCAGAGACTCGATAGACACACCCGAGAGAAATTCCGCTCTGGCTCCTACTGCGGCTTCACACGTTTGCACCTAGTTTAGCACAAAATAAAATATTCATCCATTAAGTAGTACAGCATTTTGCGCTTGTAGCAGAATATTTCAGACTATTATAAAAAAAGGACAGAAACAGTAAGAGGGAGGGGTTTCGACTGTGTGGTGTGCTGGAGAGCTCTGTGTGTGTGTGTGTGTGTGCGCGTGTGTGTGTGTGTGTGTGTGTGCGTGTGCGTGTGTGTGTGTGTGTGTGTGTGAGAGAACCTGGAAACCTTCTCCAGCAGGCGACCAGACGTCTAAACACAATTGAAGAGAAACTTAGCAAGGAGTATTTGGTACACTAATCAAGTAAACTAAACATGTCCACGACAGCACTGCTCAGCTCTGTTGCACTGCAGTTAAACGAATAAAGGTAAATCCTTAAAATGAAGCCGGTTAGGAGGCAGTAAACAATCAGAATTAAGTAATAAACATGAATTTAAAAAGCAAACTATCGCTTAAAATACCACTTATCATGAGTTATAATGCTTTTGCTAAATTTTGCATATTTTATGTTTTTGTCATTTAGTTTTGTTTTTATCTTTATTTTGGTTATTTGTTATACTTGAAAAAGCTATATTAAAGGTAGACCTTGATGGCTTATATAAAGAGAAATATAGTTACAACCAAAACAAAGAGAGGCGTTAATACTGTCATTTTATCCCTCGGTTTTCACCTTCTAAGCAAGAGTCACATGACATGAGTGTAACCAAAGGCGTATCAACAAGATTTCTCGTTAGATATGAAATATCACGGCAGTAGAGACTTGAATATAAATGATGGCATAAAACTCAGCAGAGGCTTGTGCACTTTCACTAATGCACGCGTGTTTCACGGCAGTCTACAGCATGGGAGAGGCTGTTGCCATGGATACATTAGGTTGATGCGGAGACTGGATTCATCACATTCAAATATCCCTAACGCTCAGTAAAGACCTCTAGAGCAGGGTCAGGAAAACAACAGACAAATGAAACCCAATTTCAACAACAGATTACCAGTCAGCAGTGTCTTCACTACGTCTCTGAGGTACAGTTATTACCCTGTTTCAAAAAAAAATCTATGAGCATTTATTATGCTTTCATGATTGTATCTTCACAAAAGACAAGAGTACAGGACAGGGCTGTTCTGGTGTGATGGCGAGGGATGGAGGTGAAATGGGCCATCTGCTCTCCTGTTCTTCTTCTTGCACACACTCGGCAGATGGACGTGCTCTTGTTCTCACCAGCTCGTGGAGATGAACCCATTGGTGTAAACGTGAACTTCACAGGAAATGACATTTTCAATTCTCTCAAGTTCTGCGTGTTCTGCTAAAATCTGGCTGTGGAGCGCTAACAGAATGTGTCTGCTCTTCACCGCTCTCCTTGCTCTTTCTCACACGTCAGACTCTATGCTAGAGAGTTTCTCATACACGTGTCCGTTGCTGCCGTTGAAAGGTCGAGGTGGACCGAGACTGAGCTTGCTGGTGTGGTGGTTCCCCAAGCACAACTCCGCAGGAAAGTGCGGAGCCAAGTTAGACATGACTCCTGAGGTGGCCGATGCTGGCAGGAAGGAGGTCACGCCCATGGGGCTGAGCAAGTCGCTGTGCTGCTGCTGCTTGGTGATGTAGTAGGATTTGGCACCATGCAGCAGACACTGGTCATCTCCAAAGGTAGGGATGAAAGGGTTGTGGTCGGTTCGGTCAGGATAGAGAGATTTGGATAAGGAGTGCGCTGGCCCCTCCATGAGTCCTCTTTCTCTCAGGTCCCTCTCGCCCACCGAGCGCCGATGGGGTGCATTCTCCCCCGCTCGGAACAACCCGAATGGCGATCCCGCGCCCCTCTCGGCGGCTCCATAGAACAGCGGGTCACGGTCCGTGTCCTGCTCGGGAACTCCCGGATGCTCAAATATGTGTGCGAAGGGACTAGAGGCATCTATGCAGCGCTCCCTCTCCTTGAGGCTCACGCTGCGCGGTGGCGGCAGTGCCCCAGGGCCACCGAACCCCAGCGGCACGCCCATCCCTCCTAACTCTTCTCTCTGCAGGTCCACAAAGGTGTCATAGGAATGTTGCCGGCGTAGCGGCTTCCCGCTGAAGGCCCTGCGGCGCTGCGCCGGCGTCTGACCCCTACTGCCGCCCATTTGCTCCAACAGGTGGTTACTGTCCTCGCTGATGTCATACAGGTTGCCTGACTTCTTGCAGGCTTCGCACCGCATGCAAGTGGCTGAACTTGGGCGGCTGCTCCCAACCCCTCCTCCACCCCCCGATGCCACACAACCACTGCCAACGTAGCCCGTCCCACCCATGTGCATAGCTCCACCTCCATGCAGGGTCGTCTGCTTGCTGCCCGCACTGCTGGCACGACAACTACGACATTCCAACTCACTGCTCCCACTCTTGCTGTCCGGCTTCTTGGGTTTACCCTTCAGGAAGTCATCCACAGACACCAGGCTGGTGCAGTTGCCTCCTCCTCCTCCCCCACTGGGACCATCTGTAAGATCCACATGCTCCCACTGCGGGATGCCTTCTTTGGGCCGGAACTGGTCCAGGTAGAAATCCCTCAGGCTTTCCTTGTCCTGTAACAGATATGAGGTTGAGCTCACGCCACCGCCTCGTTTGCGCTCAGATGGAGGTGAAGCCGAGCGATGCCCATGGTGATGATGGTGGTGGCCATGGTGCTGGCGGCGGCGGTAACCCAGCTCAATCTCATCGAGTTCTCGGCGGGACTTTGCCGATGCAGGCCGCTTCTTCAGGCTGTCTCTATACTGCTTGCGTTTCTTAGCATTGCCCTCTAGATTGCCATAGGTCACAGTATGAGTGGAAATGTCAGACACGTCAGAACGGATGTTTCCATCATCTGCACCGCCGCAAAACCGGTCGTGCCCTGCGATATATCCTGAACTGGATGCTCCGCCTTTGAAGGAGAATTTTCCGTACAGGTCGGCCAGTCCCTGCTTGAAGCCTGGCCCAGACGGAGGAGTCTGGCTCTGCAGCAGGTCGAATTTGCTCATGTTCCTGTGGGTCAGGGCAGAACATGGCTGTGTGCTAAAGATGGGGGCCACACCGCCGCCCAGGCTCTCGCAGTCAAACATGCCGCCCTCCAGAGAACTGCTGGAGCCCAGGCTGTGGGGCCCGTTGGGGCCCATCAGCCCCAGGGTTGAACCTCCGTGGTGGTGCAGGTAGTGGTCCTGGTACAGGTTACTGTCCTTCAGGTGCAGGTTGCCAAAGGTGCGCTCCACCTCACTGATGTAGTCGCTGAACATGTTGTCGTCGGGCAGGTAGGGGGCCTTGCAGTCTGAGTGTCCGGCCAGGCTGCGGCCGTGCTCGCTGATGTCATACACGGAGGACTCTCGGCGGATGAAGTCGAGTGCACTGTGCGGGGAACCGTTGACCCTGGAGAGAGATGCCATGTTCTTGGCGGTGCGCAGCAGACGCAGAATATTTGAGTGGGTGTTGTTCATGGTAGCAGAGGGTGAATTCAGTGATGAACTCTTATCTTCGATTTCAACTCCATGAATACAGCTATAAATCTCCTGAGAGAGGAAGAGAGAAAAGTTTCAGTGTTTAGAGATGCCGTAAACATGTTATTTCTAGCTTAATAAAGTCTTGAAACTGTATTTTGCACTACTCCAATGTTTAGCATAAATTGTGTGTTTTTCTGAGGAGTGCCTGTGCATGCTTTAGGGAGAGAACTACCCTGCTGATGGTGAAGGTGAGCCCTGGTTTCCCAGAACACACGCCAATGAAGCAGAAGCGCAGGTGCCAGTAGAAGACGTGTTCAGCGATGAAGGTGATGAGCGACAGAGCCATGGCAGCACCCAGCATGTAGAACACACCCGCCATATTGTCCACGTCCAGCTGACTGCTCATCACTTCATTCTTCTCATGGTGGCAGATCCCGGTGAGCCAGAGAGCCTCGAACTCCTCCATATCACCTGAGACACACACACATATTATAAAGGGTGATGCAATGCTCCTACACACTGGGTCTGTTACAACAATGTGTTTGATTTGTATTTGTAACAAAGGCTCCAGTAATTCAAAGCTGCTGGCAGACAAATTTGAAAAGGATCAAAACAAGGCAAAAACTCACCACCAAGAACAATGGGAAAACATGAGGGCTATCAATAAATAAGGCATCATGATTTAACTGAACACTCAGGAAGGGATCAGAGCATATCCAGGTTTAAAGCATTGTTTCTACGTTACCCGAAAATGGGGAACATTAGACCCCTTTGTCATGTGTTGATTAATTGCCATATGAATCTGTGTAAAATAGGACCAGGGAACATAGGAATGACTCCCAGGGAGCAAGGACAGGACAAAAACAAAAAAACTAAACTTAAAAAATACACAACCAAGCCATGCAAGTCCAAGAAGCAAAAGCGCATCAAAATCCAAACAACATGTCCAATTTCCAAAAATGCAACAACAGTCAGCCAATCATGAATTTTGTGATGAGCTCCTTGGATCACAGGACAATATTTCACAAGATTTACTAAATGCAAACATCATCATTTCTGCTTAAAATTTGAAAGTCATATTTTTTATTGGGCGCAGCATTTACACTGCATGACTGAGGGTTGATGGATTATTTATTTACTAGTGAACAAGCCGGCAGATCATTGTTTATCTGATGTAAATGACTCAACATGAGCAGTACCATCTCCAAAGAGCTGCAGGATGGCAAGGTCCACCTGTCTTTTCCAACCCGAGTCTTTCTGGATGGCGATGCCATAGCCGGTGGAAGCGAACACTTTCCCAGAGCCGATGGTGACCAGCTTACAGCCCTCATCTCTGCCCGCCATGTAATTCAGCACCGCGGCATCGTAAATGAAGGCATCCAGCTTCCTGTGATTTAAAACAGGACATGCACTCAGAACCTGCAGTGACTGTTTCTACAGAGATAATATTTTCATTAATGACTGATCAGAGAAGTGCCTCAGGTGGTTTCCCACACTCACCCTGTTTTTAAACTGTACAGCGCTTCATTCACGTTGCGCTGGTGGAATTTGACCATGTAGGAGTGCATCTCTCTGTAGTTATTGCGGATATTTCTCTCGGTGCTGCCATTCGGCACCGTCCCGAAGCGAAACGGCGGGGAGAAGTCATTGGGTCTCTGAAACTGAAGACAAACCAACAGCACAAGAGTTAGTGAATAGACAGACTGACCAGAAAAGTACAGTTGTATTTTCTATTGAAGGACCTTTTTGTCGCTGAGGCCCGACACCTGGTCCACGTACTCTTCCTGAATCATAAATGCAGCCAGGTTAGCAGTATAGCTGGCCAAGAAAATCACAGCAAAGAAGGCCCAGACAGACACCATAATCTTGCTGGTGGTTCCTCTGGGGTTTTGCACTGGGACAGAGTTATTGAAGACCAAACCCCAGAGCAGCCAGATGGCCTTTCCGACGGTGAACGACGGACCTCCGGCCTCTGAGAGCACAGAAACACAACATGAGGGACTCCATCACTCTCACTTAACACCTGAGAGAAGTGAAGGAGACATGCGAGTCTTTTGTGACAAGCGTGAAGGAGCAGTTTAGTAGCTGGAGATCCAGGTCAGAAGGGAAAAACAACACTGAATGCAACCCACCATATACTCCCTGTATCTGCTGTTGTTTATGTAACAAACTCTATGATATTTTGGTTCAGTTTAATTTGTCATTTGGAGAACCGAGTCAAATTAGACTGATGCCAACATGACAACAGTGTTTTTATAGTGGTTCGCAAAATATGCTGCTCCACAAGAATCCTCTTATAACGTTTGGGAACACAACATTCACCAGCAATCACCGACAACCAATATCACTAGATTTGTAATGAGAATCACTTTTAAAACTGTAGCCAATGGGTTTTGTGCCACTACCAAGGATCTATAGTTTTAAATACTCAATTAAATACTTAACAGCAAACAGGAGCTTTTAAAAATTAATTTAAATTCCGAATGCAATTTTTATCAGAAAAAATAGACTTATTCCTCAAATTGTTCATCCTTAATGGACAGGCTGTGTGACATGAACCATGAGCAAAACTACAGAAGAACTACATGGCATTAAAGTTCTGGAAATTACAATAAATAATGAATGATTCCCAGGAAATAGCTGCAGTATTTGTCAGCAAAGCTCCCCCGATGAGCTCATGTATGCGGATGTGGCGGCACTCGTTCTGTACCTCTGCCGTCGATGAGACGGCGATTGTAGCCCACGGGACTGAAGTATTCGAACACGAACACAGCGATGGCACAAACCAGCAGCAGCATGACGAACATCATGATCCAGACATCCGCACTGAATGGTTCTATGGACGGAGAACAGACACACTTCACACGTCAGCAGATACAGGACAGCAGAGATGAATAGACGGAAGAAGGAGAACGTCTCACCGAGGAACGCAGATGGAGACACGGTGCCGTTGCTCCGTGAGACCATGACGCTGATGCCCGTCTCTATGAAGGGCACGGAGAAATCGATGACCTCTGACCTCTCCTCATTGATGGTCAGCGAGCCGACGGCCATGTGAGCGTTCTTCAGCACCACCTGCAGACAGACAGACAGGTTAGAGATGGACAGACAGACAGACAGACAGACAGGTGAGAGACAGACAGACAGACAGACAGGAGAGAGACAGACAGACAGGTTAGAGACAGACAGACAAACAGACAGAAAGACAGAGAGACGGGTGAGATACACAGACAGACAGACAGACAGACGAGTGAGAGACAGACAGACAGACAGATGGGTGAGAGACAAACAGACAGACAGAGAGACGGGTGAGATACACGGACAGACAGACAGACTTATAAATTATTTAATTAAGTGTATGACCTTAGAAGACTTATGGACTACAATGCAAAAAAATATAATAATTTTGATGGTAAAAAGACTGTAAAAAAACCTGTTAATTGGTTCCTTACAATATATGTAGTGAATATATCATTTTAACATTCATTTTGGCATTTTTAATATCATTTTACAGAAAAATACTGTCAAATGTACAGTTTTTGGAAGTGAAAAAGAATAAGTCATATTATAATTCAAAGTCAATTTACATTCCCAGAATTATGTGTGACTCTTCAAATTTGATGAGATTAAGATTTTATGTTACATCGTATGTTGTTAAATAAAATAATAATGTTTATGCATTATTTTAGTGTTGTATTTGTTATCATGACGGTGTTTTGTAATTGTGTCTTTACCACCCGTTTTTATGGCAGCTGTCAGTATATTATAAAGGTATGAATCAGATTTTAATCTCTCAGCAGGTTAGTATTTTGACATTATATCGGTTTATGATTTTTAGTTTTTTGTCAATTTAAGTTCCATTTTCTAAAACTTGAAATGCTAAAATGACATTTTTTTTAAAACTCTAAATTTCACAATTTTTTTCACTCTTATGCTGCATTTTTTGGAGCTCACTGAATTAAAAATGGGTTAAACATCTTATTTTGTCTTCCAAGTACATAAAGTCAAAAAGTTTGGGAAGAACTAAATGATGATTTGGGCGAATTGTTAATTTAAGGGATTCCTAGAGCAAGACAAAGTAAATATGAGCTGAAAGCAGCAAATAATAATGAATGAAATGAGAAAAGATGAGAAATGGAATATTTCTGTAATGCACTACAACATCCATTTACCTCCGATCAAAGCCGAGTCACTGTTGATAGCATTGACTATGGGCTCACCCGTACCTACTGTACCCACATGATCTAACAGACAGAAGAGAGACAGACAGACAGACAGACAGACAGACAGAGGACAGACAGACAGACGGGTGAGAGACAGACAGACAGGAGAGAGACCGACAGACAGACAGATAGACAGGAGAGATAGCAGTTGTCAAATTTCTAGTGGTTTATCAGCCACCTCTACATTTGACCACTATAAAAATAGTACATCAATACAGTTCAAGCACGGTTGGAGAGGCAGGTTAGCTTCATTCCCAGCATTCATAGCTGCACTGTGTTGACATGAGGACAGATATGGAGACGTGAACAGCAGATATGAGACGAGAGATTCTAGATCAACAACAAACAGTAAGTGGGTTATCACACTGTCTCTCTCTGTCTGTCTGTCTGTCTGTCTCTCGCTCTCTCTGTTGGTAATTTTAGCTCTAAATACCTGAACTTCACTTCACACGATTAAACGGGGGCACGACCGTGTGTGTGTGTGTCTTACGATGGGATGGCAGTGAGAGAAACGTAGATTGAAATCAAGAGCATTTTTTAGCATAAAGACACACACAGCTGTCTAAATGAGGACATTGCATACTCTATTAAGACTTTGATTGTTTTTTTTTAAACGGCTAATTATAAACACTATCGACTAGCACAAACACACACAAACCCTCACAGACAATGATTACAGTTCCTGGCTTCATTTATAAAAGATACGAGCCGTACCTCTCCCACCATCCCGTTCCACGTGCCGTTGATCTTCTTGCCGTGTTTGCCGTTGGTGACCAGATAAAGGTCGTAGGTGAACTTCACAGACTTGGCGATCTTCTTCAGGATGTCGATACAGAAGCCTTTACAGCAGCGCTTGATGTAGATGCCAGAATCCCCCGTCTGATTCCTGACAGACAGACAGAGACACACGTGAGTGATCTGACAGATCAAGCGTTAGTGATCAGATCAGTGAAACCACATACGATGACGTTAATATGATGTTAATACCAGGTGGAAATGCTGTATGGTGATGGGATCGCTGAAAACACGTTTCAAGAGAGAATGAGTGTGTGTGTGTGTGTTTACAGTGATTTGAGCTGCTTGCGGCAGGGAACCGTGTTCCTCATGCAGGTGCCGCTGAGTGGATCCACGTCCTCCACCATCACGAACGGAGCCTCCTCCAGCGAGACAGACAGGAGAGAGACAGACAGACAGACAGATAGACAGACAGGAGAGAGACAGACAGACAGACAGACAGACAGAAGAGAGACAGACAGACAGACAGACAGACAGACAGAGGAGAGACAGACAGACGGGTGAGAGACAGACAGACAGGAGAGAGACCGACAGACAGACAGATAGACAGGAGAGATAGCAGTTGTCAAATTTCTAGTGGTTTATCAGCCACCTCTACATTTGACCACTATAAAAATAGTACATCAATACAGTTCAAGCACGGTTGGAGAGGCAGGTTAGCTTCATTCCCAGCATTCATAGCTGCACTGTGTTGACATGAGGACAGATATGGAGACGTGAACAGCAGATATGAGACGAGAGATTCTAGATCAACAACAAACAGTAAGTGGGTTATCACACTGTCTCTCTCTGTCTGTCTGTCTGTCTGTCTCTCGCTCTCTCTGTTGGTAATTTTAGCTCTAAATACCTGAACTTCACTTCACACGACTAAACTGGGGCACGACAGTGTGTGTGTGTGTGTGTGTGTGTGTCTTATGATAGGATGGCAGTGTGAGAAATGTAGATTGAAACCATGAGCATTTTTTTAGCATAAGGACACACACAGCTGTCTAAATGAGGACATTGCATACTCTATTAAGACTTTGATTGTTTTTTTTTAAACGGCTAATTATAAACACTATCGACTAGCACAAACACACACAAACCCTCACAGACAATGATTACAGTTCCTGGCTTCATTTATAAAAGATACGAGCCGTACCTCTCCCACCATCCCGTTCCACGTGCCGTTGATCTTCTTGCCGTGTTTGCCGTTGGTGACCAGATAAAGGTCGTAGGTGAACTTCACAGACTTGGCGATCTTCTTCAGGATGTCGATACAGAAGCCTTTACAGCAGCGCTTGATGTAGATGCCAGAATCCCCCGTCTGATTCCTGACAGACAGACAGAGACACACGTGAGTGATCTGACAGATCAAGCGTTAGTGATCAGATCAGTGAAACCACATACGATGACGTTAATATGATGTTAATACCAGGTGGAAATGCTGTATGGTGATGGGATCGCTGAAAACACGTTTCAAGAGAGAATGAGTGTGTGTGTGTGTGTTTACAGTGATTTGAGCTGCTTGCGGCAGGGAACCGTGTTCCTCATGCAGGTGCCGCTGAGTGGATCCACGTCCTCCACCATCACGAACGGAGCCTCCTCCAGCGTCACGATGGACAGATGATCGTCCTCACGGCTCTCCGTCCCAGAGTACAGCTCGAACCGCGGCCACACGTGAAACTTCATCGACAGAGAGCCGTTCTCCCACTTACCCACCTGCACACACACAGACATTCTCAAACTCACGAGCATCTGCTGGTCGTTCACATGGAGTGCCAAAGCAGAGCTGCTGAACACAGAATCACGTCTCAAACACACTTACTCTGTCCCACTGTCTGTCCTTGTTCAGCAGGATGATCACCAGTTTGGGGTGCATCTGATAGCCGTCCTCACTGAAGGAGAGATTCCGGCCCTCGAACGTCACGTTCATCAGATACCTGTCATCCACAGACACGCTTACTGATCAAACACTGCTGCAAAATAATGCAATAATAATAAATAATAAAGCTAATGAGATATAATGGTAATAATAAGAAAAATAATACTAATAATGAAGAAAAGAAATCATAAATATAATAATTAATAAGGGGGGAAAAATAATAAAGAAAAAACAAGAAAAGAAAAAATAATTAATATTAATATAGAACAAACTGATAAATAAAAACCTGCAATGATCGCTGTCATCTGTCTATCAATATTTGTCAATGTTTATATGGTTTCATTGTGTGACATATGTATTGTGTTGTTATGGCAACCACAACCACTGCAGCTTCCAAACTCCTCCCCTGTGTTACCATGGAAACCATCATCGAGAGAGAGAGAGA